CTGGCCGGTGTAGGGCTTCATCAGCCACGGCATCAGGGGATAGGCGGCATCAGCCACTATGCACACCGGCATGTGCACATCCCCAACCGCAAACTGGCGATGGGGGAAAAATGTTCCTGCCTGAAGCCTCCGGTACAGGTACGAGTTCCTGAAGATGCGGGCATCGTGTGCCCGCCCTGACCACCCAACACAAATGTCCGAAAACTGTCCACGATGGTCGACCAGGGCCTGGAGGACCATAGAAAAGTAGCCCTTTCGATTGATGAATTGGGCTGCTCGATGGGGCGGTGCACGGATGGCAATGTGTGTCCCATCGAGCGCTCCTCCGCAATTGGGGAAGCCGAGGGCAGCAAAGCCGGCCATGACGCTGTCCAGATCCGGTAGACAGATGAGCCTGTTGAGCAGCTCCGAATTGATGGCCCTCACCACCTGCAGAACGAGACAGACAACAAAGTGTTAGAAGGGGTGCCTTATGTCTTAGGAGGAGAACCCACCGCCCACCTTCCCTCTCAAACACCCCGGGAATCCCCTCCTCAGAACCCCCCCCACACACAATTCAGGGTGAGTGGAGGAGCTCCCTCCCACTCCCACTCCACTTGGCCCTTCCTGACAGTCTCCCTTCCCCCCACCCCAAACTGTGACTGTCCCCAGACAATGACTTACCTCCATCAAGACGGCCCCGACAGTAGATCTCCCCACTCCAAATTGGTGTCCCACGGAGCGGTAGCTGTCGGGGGTTGCCAGCTTCCAGAGGGCAATGGCGACCCTCTTTTCCAGGGGGATGGCGGGCCGCAGGTGGGTGTCTTGCCGTTGCAGAGCAGGGGCGAGCCAGGTACACAGCTCCTGGAAAGTAGTCTTTCTCATGCGGAAGTTGCGTAGCCAGTCTTGGTCATCCCAGATCTCCATCACGAGCCGGTCCCACCAGTCAGAGCTGGTGTCAAACCTCCAAACACGCCTGTCCACGAAAAAGTTCGGAGGCAAGGGCAGTGTGGCTGCCGGACGGGGGAACCCCTCGTCCCTCTGGTCTGGGTCCAGCTCGGGAAGGAGCCTCATGATTGTCTCACGAAGATGCAGCAACAGCTGCAGTATGGTGGTGTGGGGCCCTCGCCTGCCCAGGGGCAGCTCTGGCTCCATGCCACAAATAAGGGTCTGCAAGCAGAAAAACCTCAAAAGAAAAAAGCTGCTGGGGTGTCCCAGGAAGCTGAGCACTCCAAACCAGCACTGCAGTGCCTTGCAAAATTCCTCAAGGGACAGCAAAGGCAGCTGCAGGAGCAGAGCAACGGGTGTTCAGGAGTGTCCCTCTCACCACGCGTCTCTGCAAAGGGCAGGCAGGCAGCACCCGGAAGGAAATGCTGCCCCCATGCCCTGGCAGAAGCAGTTCCGGGTGGCTTTCAATTTCGAAAGAGCGTCCGGCAGTCTGGACGCTCTTTTTCGAAATAGTGGATCGATCTTTCGATCCGCGCATTGTAGTCTAGACGCGCTCTTTCGAAAGAGCCTCTTTCGAAAGAAGCCTGCAGTCTAGACACAGCCTAAGCGAATACTACGGAGCAGTGAGGCAGGGGAGACGACCATCCATTTTTTGTTCTGTGTGTCTCTTGTGCTGTTAAGTAAAGAGCAGAGGTTTTAGAATCCTTGTCATTCAACTGCTGGGAAGAAGCAATGCATGTAATCGCAGAGTCAGCAGCATATTTAAGCACACGTTTAAAGGTAAGCATGTCCTTTCTGACTTGCTGATCTGGGGCCAGTAACGTCTTGCAAAAATCCAGCTGAAGTCAGTGGCTAGGGAGGGGTCTTTTCAAGGGAATCACTGATCTATAGGTGTCTAGTTTGGATTGCATAGAACAGGAAAACTAACAGGAATTCTCCCTGTGAGCCTGGTTTCCCTTAAGCCCATTTCTTTGTTCTTTGTTGCACATGCTGCACTGCAGAATCTGACACGGCTTCACCACTTTGCTCCTGTTTAAGCCTTCCCAGAGAGAGCGCCAATTAAATGCGCCACTGAGAACTGACTGAACACAACATGGCTCAGTTAATTTGTTCACACTTCTGCTGGCCCTTGATTGGTTGAGAAGAATCTAGTTTTCCCCGCCTCTGGCTTGGTCTGTAATTAGGGGTGAAAAGTCTGAGACCCTAAGCCCTTTGCTTTCCCCAAACAGAAGGCATAAGTGCTGCTCCGAATCCAGCTCTAGAGCCATGTGAGTGGAGTCACCTTCCCAAAGATCCCCAGTGACTTGTTAATGAAATAGATCTGCCCGCTCGGACACAATTCAACTCAATCCTCTTTCCTTTCAGAAATGGAAGAGTTGGCTAGAGAAAGCATCGGCTTGCTGGACAAGCCACCTCTGGAGTCAGGTAGCCCAAACTTATCCTCTGTTGGGGCTGTCTTTATTATGCTGAAATCATCTCTTGGAGCAGGACTGCTTAATTTCCCCTGGGCTTTCAATAAGGCTGGAGGGATCACTACAGCTGTTCTTGTGGAACTGGTAAGTGATAAGTAAATATCTTTCTGTATAGTGACTGAGTCATGCATAGGAGGGGGCAAATATGCTGCATTAGTGGCTAAAAGAAATCCTGTAGCTTAATCTTTCTCAATGGATAACAAAAGTCTTTCTGTATTTCCCGCTTTTCCTCCCACACTCATTAATCCCCCCCACCCGCTGTGAGAGTGACCTAGTCCCGTGTCCTTGGTGTGTCACATTTTTGGGGGGTGGAAGAGAAGATAATAATAAACATAGGGCTGTGCCACTAGCTAGCAGCTGTAGAGCAAAGCTGGAGAAAAGAGGTGAATTCAAATTGTGTCTGGTCAAAGTGACTCGGTAGCTTTCCCTGTAATTAGGGTAGGGGGCAGGGAGATAAAAATAATTCATGGCTAGTGCAGCTTGGGGCTTGTGTGTCGCTGTGCAGATGTATATATGTGCTAATCGCTGTGCTTGCATATCCCATGCCTCTCCCTTGCCCTGGGTACATCACTGATTTCCTGTGGACCCCCATGCTGCAGACACATGAGTGCATGCTCCAAACCAAGCATGGGAATGTGTGTGGAATCCAGAGCCTCAGCCTGTCTGCTCTTTGGACAGACACCATGTCATCTTGTAGGACCTGGCACAAGAAGGCTAGATTGTAGCGGGAAGGGCCTTTAGCTGCTGCTGAAATGCCAGTGATGATTTTCAAAGCCTTGCCATTTGGGAAAGGGTTGCTCGTGTTCGTGTACCCTAGCCATTTTCTGCATCAGTGCAATTGCCTTTCTTAGGGTTTGTTTGTAATACCCTATGGCCACGGGAATCTTGCAGGCAGGTTTAGTTTTACATGTGATTAAAATATGATATTATATGGTGTGAATGAAAATACTATGAGAAAAAGTTTCAGAGAGGTAGCTGTGTTAGTCTGTAACTGGAAAAACTTTAAAAACAACGAATAGTCTAGCAGCACCTTAGAGTGTCCTCCCCATCATGATATTATCTACATTTTTTGTTAGTTTCTAAGGGTATATCTAGACTACATGGCTGTGTCGCCAGAGCCATGTAGATTAGTTTACTAGACATACCCAAATGAAGCGGCGATTTAAATAATCGCTGCTTCATTTAAATTAAAATGGCTGCTGCACTGTGCCGATCAGCTGTTTGGCGGCACAGTGCTGTAGTCTGGACACTCCACGGTCGACATCAAAGGCATTAGTTGACCTCCGCGGTATGCCTCGTGGGATGAGGTTTACCAGGGAGGTCAACAAATGCCTTTGATGTCGACCGTGGAGTGTCCAGACTACAGCACTGTGCCGCCAAACAGCTGATCGGCACAGTGCAGCAGCCATTTTAATTTAAATGAAGCAGCGATTATTTAAATCGCCGCTTCATTTGGGTATGTCTAGTAAACTAATCTACATGGCTCTGGCGACAGAGCCATGTAGTCTAGACGTACCCTAAGGGTGCATCTACACAGCAGAGATATTTTGGGATACCATGGTATCCGGAAATAGCTACCCCACGTCCAAGGAACGCACCCATTATTTTGAAATATTTTTTGAAATAACGGTTGCACTATTTTGCCATCCTCGTAAACCTCATTGTACAAGAGATAAAGGATGGCTCAAAACAGCACTTTATTTCAGAATTTTTGCCATGTAGACACACCAAATGTCAAAATAGCCTATTTCGAAATAAAATTGAAATGATACATATAGCGCCAATTGTGTATCTTATTTTGAGTTTAAGGTGCAGAGTAGATGCACCCTAAGGTGCAGCAAGACTATTTGTTGTTTTTTAAGTTTTTTAATACTACAAGCAATTATCAGGGGATAGTGGTAACTGGATGGGAGTGACTATGGGAGCCTAATTGTGCAAGTAGCCCTGTACGAACTTGACTACGATTGGATCTGCATCATTGAAAATGTGAAGTCAGGTATCTGTTCGGAAAAAAGCGGCGGACATTTTTATTTAAATGCCGCGGGGGATATTTAAATCCCCCGCGGATTTCCCTACGACGACTAGTGAAATTTACATGCCCCTTCCGGAAAAGGGGCCAGTGTAGACGTAGCCCGTGTGTAAGTGCATCTTTCTGTAACATGTGCCCTCTGCTGAGCCCATTCTAGGCAGCCAGTAGGTTCCATGGAAGCTATCAAAGTAAGAATAAGACCCTCCGGAAAAGGGCGCTTTTTCCGGAGGATCGGGGCCAGTCTAGACGCTCTTTTCCGGCTTTTTTAAAAGCCGGAAAAAAGCGGCGGACATTTTTATTTAAATGCCGCGGGGGATATTTAAATCCCCCGCGGATTTCCCTACGACGACTGGTGAAATTTACATGCCCCTTCCGGAAAAGGGGCCAGTGTAGACGTAGCCATGGAGTGTGTGCGTTCCGTGCTTCAGTAGCACTGTGCACTGCAGAGCAGGTGTTCTCAACTTTTCTCTTTCTAATGCCACCCCAACATGCTACAAAACTCCATGCCCACCTGTTCCACAGCAGCTCTCTTCTGCATAGCCAGGAGATTGAAAGTCAGGGCTGGCATTAGGGGTAGCAAGCAGGGTGACTGCCCTTGGCTTCATGCCACAGGGGCCCACAACGCTCGGTTGGTTGAGCTTTGGCTTCAGCCCAGTGCGGCAAGGCTCAAGATTCAGCCCCAGCCCCAGTGAACCTATCACTGGCCCTACTCTTTGGCCCATTTTGGCAGACCCTCTGAAACCTACTTGTGGCCCTTCAGTAGGCCCCAGATCCTGGGTTGAGAAGCACTACTGGGCTATGTCTACACTGGTGGCTTCTTGCGCAAGAATATCTTGTGCAAGTGTTCTTGTGCAAGAAGTCTTGTGCAAGAAAACATCCACACTGCCATGTGCGAGCTGTGCTTTTGAGCAAGAGCGCCCATGGCAGTGTGGACGCTCTCTTGCACAAGAAAGCTCTGATGGCCATTTTAACCATAGGATTTTCTTGCGCAAGAAATCCCTGCAGAGCGTCCACACTGCCCTCTTGTGCAAGAGCTCCTGCACAAGAGAGCTTACACCTGTTAAAAAAGAGCGTAGCTCGTGCGCAACAAGCCCTCTCTTACCACGCCCTACTGTAAATTTCCCTGCGCAAGAGCAGGCGGGCAGTGTGGACGCTCTGCGGATTCTTGCGCAAGAAGCAGCGAGTGTAGACATAGCCCTGGAGAGGAAGGGTAGTCTTGGTTTTAACATGTCAGGCTGGGAGACTTGGGTTGATTTCATAGCTCTGCAACAGACTCCCTTTGTAACCTTGAGGCAATTACTTAGGGCATATCTGTATGTTGCTGCATCCCGCACTATGGAGTGTGGGGATGCACTCTAATGAATTGTACTCTAATTGCCCCACTTAGACCCTGTTGGTACTAACTAAAAGGTGTCTCTAGCACACTGAAGTGATCCTGTTTGAAATGAGAGTATGCAAATGCAAAATAGGCGCGTTTCAGTTTGCACCAGCAAGTTCCACAGAGGGCAGTCAGAGCATTCTAATGTGTTGTGTTCTACAATTAATACCCCACCTCCCCCTAGTTTGAACTGCAGCACTGATAGACAAACCTTTAGCCTCTTTTTGCCGACGCTCCTCATCTACAGGGGGTTTATAGTGCTCCCTTTGTCTTGTCCTGTCTATTCCGATGGTAAAGTCTCTGAGGCAGGGAGCAGCAATTACTGTGTAACAGTATCTAGCACAATTATTGCAATAGTGTTATTCTGAGGCATGGAGCAGCAATTACTGTGTAACAGTATCTAGCACAATTATTGCAATAGTGTTATTTTATAAATTCCTGGGTATAATAGCTTGGAGACTAAAGGAATATTAACATGGTAATTAAATCTGTAGCAAAACTTACCTATAAGCATGGTATGATCTCAGGAGAAAAATGTATAAGCACACTCGCTGACACAAGTTAGAAGCAGATCATGAAAGTAATCCACTATTCACAGCAGCCAGGCTACTTTGCTGGCTGTGTTTCCATTACCCCATTTGCCTGATTAGGTCTCTTTTCTCTGAGTCTAATCACATCAGCAAGGACTGGAGGATCAGGTGTAGCCGCGCTGCACGGGGTTCGAAGCAGCGGGGATTTAAAAATGGCGGCTCCCCGCTTATGCTAATGAAGCCCGGGAAAGGGTATGTCTACACTACCCCGCTAGTTCGAACTAGCGGGGTAGTGTAGACATACCCTATGTCCTGAACCTGGAGGTAATGTTTGCAGATTGAGTCTTAAGCAACTGAGTGCTCAGCTGTGAGCTGGCTTGGAGTCTATTCCTTAAAGAAAATGGTGTATTTTAGCATGAAGAGACAGCACGGTTCTTCTTAGCATAGTCTAACACTCCTATTCCCACACTGGGAATGACCTTTAACACTCCAATATAAATCAAAACAGGTTGATTTTGTAACTTCAAAACATCAGGATGTTGGTGAGGACATATCTCCTCTCCACGTTCATAAGTCCTGCTATTTTGCCAACTTAGCCTAAAAAGCCATGCTTGAATAGTGAAATGTAAGGCTGGGATTCAAAGAGTTTTGCTCTTAGTGGGACTCTTACCCTTTCAGTTGCACACAGACTAAGCTCCCATTTAGGAAGGGAATCTGCAGCAGCCTACCAACCAAATTAAATGGAGTAAGGAAAGAAACCAGATCTTTGGAGTCACTGCAAGTGAACTTAGTGGTGACTATCTCTAGCAGAAATCATAATGTAGAGAAAAATGGGGGATTAAAGGATCTCAACTGGTCAGACACACAAAGGCGATGTTTGAAATTTAATTGTGAACTTTTTCAAATCTTTATAAGGATAACACTAAGGATTTTTTCTTTCCTGTTTTTTTTTTGTGTGGAAGCAACTGTACAGAATAGAGTTGGCTCTTTGTATAAGACAATAAAGATATGCTATTTTAAGAACCCTTACTTGATTCTGCTACCTTTACTACCTTACTCAGTAAATAGTCTCTGAAAATGAGCATATTCCTTAGAGTTTTCCTATTGATCATTAATGCTCACAATTAGTCTGTCTAATATTCATATCGGTTATCCTGTACACTTTTCTGCTATTCACCCAGTTTTGATAGATGGTTGATTGATATTTGTCATGATTTTTTTTCCAGAGATTAATTTCCCCACTCTTCAAATAACTCTCAAGTTAAGTCTCAAGTGATAAATCAGAATGGAGAACCCTATCAATTTGGCATAATTATGAGGAAAAATCCATAAAATACTCCACAGAATGTACCTGGCTAACTTGTGAAGAAATGGAAAGTTCTATAAAAATTACTAAGACATACACATTCATAAAAGCAATTAACAAGGGTATTTGGATTGGTAATTGAGGTGAATGAGGATGATAGCAATGAGGTGTATATGTAACTTTCATATTACAAACAAATTATTCTTATTATGTGAATAATAAATGGAGAGATACTGGCTTAAGCACATTGAATAAAATTCAATTTATATAGTGTCAAAACAGGAATGACTCTGTGCTGACTGGCACATCTGTGCCTTTCCACCCTAAACCCGCTGCCACCCCCTCCAGGTTGAAGTGGCAAATGAGGGCTGCAGCTTGCAAGTATGCTGTACAGGAGGGCATAGTGACCCCATGTTGGCAGTGCACAACTGTGCTCCTTCACCCCAAACCCGCCGCCTCCCTTTGCAAACGTGAACGAGGGCTGATGTTTGCAAGCACCAAAGAAGAGGGCAGGAAAGCATGCAGGGAACATGAGCCTAACACGCAAGGCAAAATGTTGAGGCTGAGAGGGGTTAAATGGAGCTGATTAAGTGCCTGGTAGAGGTGCAGGAAAAGCAACTAGAGCACAGAGCCAATGTGACCGAATGCGCTAAGGACATGCACTTTCAGATTTATAAAACTTGGTGCTAAGTATTGACATCAATAAATGTGCTCCAGTTCCATAAGTAGACATACCTTCGGCTTTAGATTTTTCTACCTCAAGGGTCTTTTTTCTGTTTGTTCAGCAGGGTCCTGACGACAAGGGCACCTATGTTTTATGGCAATACAATAATAAATTGATGATGTCTGGAATTTTGCTTCTCTAGCTGCTGGTGATTCAGAGAGATTCACTTTACTAGAAGAATCAAAACAAAGAAGCCTCTTCTTGCCAAAGCCCATGATGTGTTTGTCTTGGATACCAGCTGCTTTATATTTATGCTACAAAGCTGCCATGTAACTTTTAGGGCCTTTTGAGGAAAGCCTTCCCACTGCATAACGTGGGCAGCTCTAATCATTAGTGGTTAAATGAGGAGCAGCGTAAACACTTGGGGCTCATCTAGACTACACTGAAGATTCGAAAGAAGACATGCAAATTCTGTGGGAATTTGCATATCTTCTTCCAATCTCACTTTTGAAAGTGAAAGTAGTTGGGACACAGCTTTTTTGGCAAACTTCCCCTTTTCCGAAAAACTGCGTAAACCTCATTTTTTGAGGAAAAGCAGCTTTTCGAAAAGGGGAGGAGTTTGCCGAAAAAGTCACGGGATGTCAGAATAGTGAGCCCATTATATTTCATAATAAAAGGTGCACTCAAAAGACGTGGAATAGCTATTTTGGGATACTTCTGTTATCCCAAAATAGCTCTGCAGTGTAGACATAGCCTTGGGGCATGTCTACACTAGGAAATTATTTCAAAATAACTTATTTCAAAATAATAACTCCAAAAATAACTATTTTGAAATAGCGTGTCCACACTACAGGAAAACCTCGAAATTAGTCTGAGGCAGGCTCCCTTAATGTGGATGCGCTACCTCGACTTAGAGCCCCAGGAAGCACGGGGGAGTAATTACTGTGAATGTCTCTGGCGAGTAGCTATTTTGAAATAGCAGCAGTGGAGCAGCCACACTACCACTATCTCGAATTAACTATTTCAAAATACGTGTTATTCCTCGTGGAAAGCAGGAATTATTATTTCAAAATAACAGGCTTCGTAGTGTGGATGCTCTGCTTGTTATTTCAAAACAAGAGTATAGATCAGGGCTAATTCACTGCACTTTTCTTTCCATCTCTGCAGGGCTCCTTAATATTCCTAATTAGCGGTTTGGTGATCCTGGGATATGCCTCGTCCATCAGCACCCAGTCCACATACCAGGGCGTAGTCAGAGAAATCTGTGGATCCGCCATTGGGAAGCTCTGTGAGATCTGCTTCATTTTAAATCTCTTCATGATTTCTGTAGCTTTTCTCAGAGTTGTGGGTGATCAGCTGGAAAAAAGTAAGTGTTCTGACCATGACTGTAGGCACACCAAACCAGAGGTAGGCATCCACACTCATGCCAATAGCATGAGCTATTGCAGTCTGCATCTTTCAGGGTTCCTGCATATATGTAAACTGTCCAATAGGCATATACGAAATGTCCAAAATACATGTGTTGAGCTGAATTTGGGGTTGGGGGTGCCCAACTTGAGACACCATAAAGAGGCCTGGTTTTTGGGAAGTGCTGAGTGACTGTGTTGTGAAAAACTGGCCTCTTTAAAGGGTCTCCAGGAAGGCACCCAATATCACTATTCACTTTTGAGAAAATAGGCCATTAACTATTTCAGCACAGAGACAATTTTGAGGGAGGCAGGGTGTTTTCGGTGCATCCTGCTCCCTCGGTGTTTGAGGAAGGGCAGCCATCATGTCAATTTTCTGTCTTGCAAAAGGCCATTTTCTCCATAGTCAAGCCCTCCCAGGCTTGTAAATTCCTGTTTCTAGGTGAGGCTGCTGAGTGTCTGATGAGCTGTTACTGCTAGGACTGCCAACGGTGTGTACTGGCTGCATGCTGCAAGTGTGATTCTAACGGCCGTTGAGCCCTTTGTTAAAACTTGATCTGAATTCCTGAGTACGAGCAGAACTTTCTGTGCTTGGCACCTAAAGGGTTATTTGGCTTTTGCTGGCCCTGTTGCTGCTGACCTCCAGGCCAGATTAACTTCTTGTGGACCCTGCTCCACACACATTTGTGGGCCTCTATGAGGGCAATGGAATATGGCAGGGGAACGGGGAGGTCCATGGAGTGAAGTGCAGGCCAGAGGCAATGGGGCATGGAAGGTCACTGGCCCAGACCAGCAGCTGAAGGCTGTTCTCCACCCCGGGCTGCCTGCTTCTGAGGGGAGTAGTGAGGAGTGGTGAGGAGCCCTCAGCTAGCTGCTGGCTGAAAGAAGTAAGCAGTGAGTGGGGCTAAAGGTCAAGCTGTGGGGAGGAACTGGCTCAGGGGGTGTAGAGAGAAGCCCTGTCTAGCTGGGAGAGGAGCAAATGGTGGTGAGGAGAAGAGGCAGAGGCGTGGAGAGAGCCATCTGCTTTAGGCACCCTTTTGAGTGTGCAACCAGCATCATGGCACCAGGGGCTCTATTCTACTTCTGGCACTGTTGATCTCTAGGACAACTCAACAGAAGCTGATGCTGATCTCCTAAGCCTTGGGCCACATTCTGCCCCTGACCGCGTCTTCCGTTTCTCCTCTTCAGTATGTGACTCCCTCTACCCGAACGTAACTCTGAGTGGCGAAGGGCCTTCTCCTCCCCAGCACTGGTATATGGATTATCGCTTCACCCTGACTGCCCTGTGTGTCCTCGTCATCTTCCCTCTGTCTGTTCCCAAGGAGATTGCATTCCAGAAATACACCAGGTAGGCTTGGCGCTAATGTTAGTGCTAGGAGGATGTGCCCAGCTTCGTGGTAACTCAGACTTTATCTAATCTGTCAGTCCTGGCCACAACCACTCCCTGCCACTTGCTGCCCATCCCCCCCACTTCGCCAGTCAGTGTGGGTGAAGAGGTTGTGAGCTCCAGACCATGCTACAGAAACACCTGTCCTCAGGTACTGAATCGGGGCTAGTGCTTTGACTTGGTGTGCTCCTTAGGAGCCTGCAGTGCTGAAGCCCTACATGGGTGTTAGTTGGGGTCTTGTTGGCTTGGGACTGTTAGCTTCTTGGTGAACATGGTAAATATAGTACAGCAAGTGACTCATTTGTACCAGAGAAGATCTGAGAAAACAAGCTGAGAAGAAAAATCCATCACTATAATCCCTAATCGATAGGGTGTGACCTAAAATAGACAGAAGAGTCTGCGAAAATGTAAACATGCTGAAGTCTGTCCTTTCAGCAGCTCTTACTTGGCTAGAGGTTTCTGAAGGACCCTACAGATCCCATAGAGATTCTCTAGCTGTTAGACAGGAGGAGAGGATAGAAGAGGCTAAAATATGGGCCAGATCAGATGAAACACATTCACATAAAAAAGAATCTGGCATTAGAAAAGGTTCAGAGAAGGGCAACTAAAATGATTAGGGGTTGGGAACGGGTCCCATTGAGGTGAGATTAAAAAGACTAGGACTTTTCAGCTTGGAAAACAGGAGCCTAAGGGGGGGATATGATAGAGGTCTATAAAATCATGAGTGGTGTGGAGAAAGTGAATAAGGAAAAGTTATTTACTTGTTCCCATAATATAAGAACATGGGGCCACCAAATGAAACTAATGGGCAGCAGGTTTAAAACAAATAAAAGGAAGTTCTTCTTCACACAGCACATAGTCAATCTGTGGAACTCCTTGCCTGAGGAAGGTGTGGAGGCTAGGACTATAACAGGGTTTAAAAGAGAACTAGATAAATTCATGGAAGTTAAGTCCATTCATGGCTATTAGCCAGTATGGGTAAGGAATGGTGTCCCTAGTCTTTGTTTGTCAGAGGGTGGAGATGGATGGCAGGAGAGAGATCGCTTGATCATTACCTGTTCGATTCACTCCCTCTGGGGCACCTGGCATTGGCCACTGTCGGCAGACAGGGTACTGGGCTAGATGGACCTTTGGTCTGACCCAATATGGCCATTCTTATGTTCTTATAGCCATCTCCGAGGACTAAGGGTGCTAAATTTGTGTCTTGGCCAAACTGAATCTTGGGTAATTTTCTTGCTACCTAAAACCCTGCAGTTCCACCTTTCCCTTTCATTCTCCCAAACTTTGGGATAGTATGGCTGGTCTCTCTTATTCCACTCCAGAGGAGGCTGCATTTCAGTGGCAGGTGAGCTCATTCCTGTATCTACAGTCTCTGCAAAGCTAAGAAGTGGCGAGTAGCACAAAACACATGTTCATGGCCTAGAGCATGACTGTGTTTGCCCTGTGTAAATTGGAATCAAATCCAAAGGAGCCACACGAGTGTGCTCTAAGTGAGAGAGGCGACTCAGCCCCAGAGTCCAGTAAAGAGCATAAAAGCTTCTCTCTGTGAACAGGTAGATGCAAAATATTTTAACAGTGCCAGTGGGTTACCAGGTTGTTGCCCTTCCAAAATCCTAGTATAGTCTCTGATAGGCTTGTACCGCACACTCATTGAACATGACACCTGCCAATAGCACAACGGACTCTTCATTCTATATGATAAAAGCTTAACACTTTCCCTCTCCATACCTTTGTTTTAGTATTTTAGGCACCTTGGCTGCTTGCTATCTGACCCTGGTTATTATAATAAAATACTACCTAAGAACGGACCGCGTTACCATGCATGAGCACCATTATTCCACAAGGTAGGTATGGTGCTACCTTTATCACACACAAGGGTCCTTGACTTGGCACCTAACCCAGGTGACAAATGTGCTTAGTGGCACTTAGGATGCTAATGCAAGTGTGCTGGGAGTTCAGGACTGGTTCTAGGCTGTTAAAACTGCTGAAAAGCCTGCTTGTGTTTTCTTCCTTTGTATTTCTCCCCCTTGGCTTGCCAGGCTATGCTACGTCCTGGAGGAGTCCTGGATCTGCTGGCGTTAAAATAAATGGCCAGGCAGCTACAGTCATGCCTGGAGGTGCCAATGTGCACCTCAGCCTAATGCTTGGCTTTCCCTGCCTCTAAAACGAATCCAACAAGTGCATGCTGCTGTCTTTGAAACAAGTCTAAGCAACCAGTGTCATTGCCTGGTGAATAGTGTAGGATCCCTTTTGTGGCTGCTAGACTGAGATGTAAACAGGGGTTATATATATTGGGGCCCAGCAGATACTTCATGTGGACCACAGAGAAGTGACTGTAAGTTTGCTTATACAAGGGCTTAGTTTGCATAAAATAATAATTTCAGGGTCAGATCCTCACCTGGCCTAAATCAGTGCCACATGCACAACTTCAATTGAGCTTTGCAGATGGTCTGGCCTTCTATTTCTAGTGCTAGGGAGACATTATTACTAAGGGTTTGGAGCCATTGGGATACTTGAGGCGTGTGGGCATCACTGGAAGATGATGAATTCTTGGGTATTGGGAGAAGTGTGTATTTAAGGGTATGTCACAGTTATGTGGGCTTCAGAAGTGCTGGTGCATGGGGCTTTTTCTTATTTATTTTGCTTCATTCTGCTAAATCAAGAAGGCCTGAAAGTGCCCCTCATTCACTCCACAAAAAATTACCCCATAGGAGGCTCTTTCCGCTTTCTTAATTCCAGACCTGTCAGCCCTGACAGACTCCAGGGCCTTGTCTACACTAGGCAATTCTAGCAAAAGAATTTCCCGTGGGGCCAACAGCAGTAGAGCTGAACTAGCATTAATGAGAATGAGAGCCCTGGCCAAGGCAGGGGGCTCATGGCTTTCGGCCTCTACCACTATGAAAGCTGTTGAGGAGATGGTTCAGCACAGGTTGTAAAACAGGAGTGACTGTAGGAGCACTCTCTGTGTTGGGGCTTTCATTGTTGAATGTGTGGGACTGTTGATGGGTAACGGCTCCCGCAGCTAAGGCCCCAATCCTGCAACTGACTCCGTCCTGGAAGCCTGGGGCTCTGGGAACGCAGTCTGTTAGAGGAATGGAAGCTGAATTGTCTGTGGTGGAAATGGGTGCCTCAGTTTGGAATAGCCATCAGAAGTTGTGCTGTGGAGTTACTCTCCTGGGGGCCCCTTTGGGCTGTGGTACCAGGCAGGACTGTGAAATGTATTTCTCTTCTAGCCCTCGGGACTTCTTTTTCTTCAGCTAAACTGATCACCTGTCTTCCCCTTCCTCTCTCAATCTTGCAGGGTGTCTTCCCTGGCTTCCATGTTCAGTGTCATCCCAACAATATGTTTTGGATTTCAGGTAACAGCTACTTGGATTTCAATTATTCTTTTCCATGGGCGAGTCCAGGGGCTTTCTACTACAGCTGCCTTCGCAGAAGCTTTCACCCCTCTGGATTCTTGACCAGAACACGGAACAAGCAGAGACACCACTGTGTCTGGGGTGAAATCCTGGTGCCAGGGAAGTCCATAGCAAAACTCCCTTTGACTTCCTTCCATGGACCCAGGATTTCACCCTGGTTGTTTAGGGAGTGCAGTATGCATCCCTTTCCAGTGCAGACAAGATCTCGACATTGAGCTGTGTCCTTTATTAGTGAGTGTTGGGAAGAGGGGTTTGATTTAAGGACCTTCCAGTAATGGGCATCTCTTTCTCTAAGCTGTAGAGTTAATGGGGCCACCTGATACAGGGGCCCTGAATGAGCCAGAGGGTTAGAGCAGAATGAGGATTTGGATCTGTGTTCTGCTCTGGTTTCAAAGCTGGCAGAACCAGTGGAACCCGGATCAGAGCCACTCCCTCCCTCAGTTCCATCACAGTTTAGCTGCTTGGCTCAGTACCTGTCCCATGGAGGAGGTGGGGCTAACAAGAACTACAGGTTCTGTCAGTTCTCCTCCTCCTGGCCCTGCACGGGGTGTGTGTGGCCCCTTCCAGAGGCAGAGAACATCCTTCTCTGTCCTCCTGGAAGCAGGAAGGAAGCCTTTTGTTTTGTGACTCTAGGGAATCACTGGAGGGGTGCTGAGCTCTGTCTCCGGATGGGACTCAGGAAACACCCCAGTAATCTGAGTGGCTGTGTATGGGAGCAGGAGGCTGCAGGGGAAGGTTTGGGGGGAAGGTTGATGTGGACAGAGGGAATATGAGCGGATAGCTTGTAGTTCATGTGGCAAGAGGGATCTGAGGCGTTTCCTCCAACCTTCACCTCCTAATATGTGTGTGGTGTTCTCATGTATTTCAGTGTCATGAAGCCTGCATTGCCATTTACAGCAGTATGCATAACAAGAAGCTCTCCCTTTGGATCATGGTGTCTGGGCTGTCCATGCTCTTCTGCCTGTTAATTTATTCTCTTACAGGTAGCCCCTCCCCTTCACCATATTTTAACCTGCTGAAACGTTCACCCCTTCTTCTCTCACTCAGAAACCACACTGCAGGGTTAGGCCTTATTGACAGTGGACAATGACTTCATATTAGTCCATGTTCATAGAATCCTAGGGGTGGAAGAGACCTCAGGAGGTCATCAAGTCCAACCCTCTGCCAAAAGCAGGACCAATCCCAACTAAACCATCCCAGCCAGGGCTTTGTCAAGCTGAGACTTAAAAACTTCTAGGGATGGAGATTCCACCACTTCCCTAGGTAGTGAAATAGTTTTTCCTAATATCCAACCTAGACCTCCCCCACTGCAATTTGAGACCATTGCTCCTTGTTCTGTCACCACTGAGAACGGCCTCTCTCCATCCTCTTTGGAACCTCCCTTCAGGAAGTTGAAGGCTGCTATCAAATCCCCCCTCACTCTTCTCTTCTGCAGACTAAATAAGTCCAAATGCCTCAGCCTCTCCTCATAAGTCATGTGCTCCAGCCCTCTCATCATTTTCATTGCCTTCTGCTGGGCTGTCTCTAATTTGTCCACATATTTTCTGTAACAGGGGGCCGAGAATTGGATGCAATACTCCAGAGGTGGCATCACCAGTGCCGAATAAAGGGGAATAATCACTTCCCTAGTTCTGCTGGCAGTGCTCCTACTAATACACTCCTGTATGCTGTTAGCCTTCTTTGGCTACAAGGGCAACTGTTGACTTATATCCAGCTTCTCATCCACTGCAATCTCCAGGTCCTTTTCTGCTGAACTGCTGCTTAGCCAGTCGGTCCCCAGCCTATTAATACAATGTGAAACGTGTATTAGCTTGATATCAGCTAATCCTGCTTAGGATGCCTTAAATTGTTTGACTGATGACTGCTTCAACTCTTTATAACTCAGCTGCTATAGGTTGGAGTCATTTGGCAAGGAAATTTTAGAAATTAGTCCTCCTTAAAGACTTCCTCTCACTAAGTGATAAATACCAACACAACCTATTTTAAAATAACGTTATTACAGTTGCAAAGTCAAGTGATCAGAAATTATGAAATGCCAGAATTAAGTTTGCCTGCATAATCGTGGTTTGCCTTACTGTTGCATATGCATTCTAATACAGACTTCAGTTATGTAACTGCTGGTTATATTTTCCACACAATCCCAGCCTCAGTGCACTGAATGGATGGTACTCACTTAACAGAATAGCTCTTTAGAAAGCACCACCAGCCATTCTTTCAAATCTTTTACACCCCACCCCACCACCAAATCAGTCTGAGGCAGACAACCAGCATATAAAATTTCAGCACAAATGAACAAAGCTTTGTGAAGTTATAAGCAGATTTTTATATGGGATATGTGGACAGTCTTAATAATAGGCAATGCTATTATAAGCAACACCCATTAATTTAAACTTTTTCTCTCATTTCTCTTCCAAACTCCTCCCCAAATGTTCTCAGGACTGTAGCTTAACACCACGTTTAATGCCTATGATCTTTGCTGCTTCCTTTCTAGGGCTTTATGGCTATTTAACCTTTGGTGCTGATGTTGCTGCTGATATCCTGATGTCATACCCAGGAAATGATGTGGTCATCACCATAGCCCGATTACTGTTTGGCATCTCCATCATTACCATCTATCCAATTGTGCTGCTGCTGGGAAGGTAAGACAGGGAGAGGCTGCAGTTGTTCAAGGCTACTGAATGTTTAGGAATGGGCCTATGGTGGCAGATGTCAGTGATGTAGATTTGGAAAGAGGCATTACTAAAGGCAAAATGCATTCTAGTCTCCTTCAGATCCCTTAATCTACAATGCTCATATGACCATGAGTTGATTTAGAGTGAATGCCTGAGCAAAGACCTTAATGGGGGTGGCTGAAAATCTGCTGTCGACTGGATGTCCATGCACAGTGATGAAGGAAGACAGTCAGGAAAGGGTTAGGTCTGTGAGGATAATAGCGTAAGAGTGAAGAAGGTTCATACAGAGAGTAGTCACTGCCTGGAAGGCAATGAGGACCACTTGTGACTGGGGGGTTTGCCCTGAACTGGCCCTTTAACGGTTCAAAACCCAGCCTTGGGAAGGGAAGAAGCAGTGGAGTGCACAGCTGAGGCAGATACAGCCAGTTAGGATCCAGCTGGGGCTGGCATGTGTGGCTGGCAGCAGCGGAGAAGGCCCAGAGTACAACAGAGGCCTACAGTGGGCTGGAAGAACGGGGTGGTAATGGTGGAGAATGGCCGCCTTCATGAGACACTGAAGGAAATGGAAGAGAAGTGAGGGGCTCTAGAGGGGCACCGGTGACTGGTGTAGGCTACAAAACTCCCCTAGTCCCAGGGGTGGTGATTCTAAGGAGGGGTGCATGTGACAGGGCATCTGCCACACACTGGCCCTTTCAGGCTTAAAACCCAGCCCTGGGAAGAGGGCAGGAGCAGTGGAGCCCACAGCTGAGGCAAAACCAGCCAATTAGAGCCCAGCTGAGGCTGTATAAATAAGGGCTCTTCAAGGGGCGGAGTCACTCACACTTGCTGCAGCAGTGGAGCAGGAGGGACCTAGCTTCCAGGGAAGATAGGGTATGTGTACACTACAGCGCTAATTCGAACTAACGCGTCTAGAACTAAAAACTAGTTCGAATTAGCGTTTTGCTAATTCGAACTAGCATGTCCACATAAAGTGGACCCTGAACCGGGCTTAAGGATGGCCGGAAGCAGTGCCGGCAGGGCATCAGAGGAGGACTTAGAGCGTGGAGATGCTGTCTCAGGCTAGCCGAGGGCTGCACTTAAAGGGTCCCGACCCCACCCCAGACAGACAGTTCTCAGGGGTGCCCTGCTTGAAAACCAGTCCTGGCTTGGAGTGCCCGGAGTGCCCACACTGGGCACATCACAGCACTCGGCCATCAGCCCGGCTGCACTTGCCGCAGGCTGCCATCTGGGGAGA